TTATCAAAGATTAAGTGGCTGTAAGATGTTACTTTTTTTTTTTTTTTGGGGGCAGCCTGAAAGTCCCCCTGGGTAGAGTGCTGTGCCATCACAGCTCACAGCAACCTCCAACTCCTGGGCTCAAGCGAGTCTCCTGCCTCAGCCTCCCAAGTAGCTGGGACCACAGGCACCTGCCACAATGCCTGGCTATTTTTTGGTTGCAGCCGTCATTGTTGTTTGGCGGGCCCCGGGCTGGATTCAAACCTGCCACCTTAGGTGTATGTGGCTGGCACCTTAGCCACTTGAGCCACAGGCACCGAGCCGATTTATGACTTTTTTGATGAGAAGCTGCAATCTGTTGGCTAGGATTTTGTTGAGAATTTTTACATCTATATTTATTAGTGAAATTGGTCTGAAGTTCTGTTTAGTCAGGTCTTTTCCTGGTTTTGGTATCAGGGTGATGTTTGCTTTGTAGAATGTGTTGGGGAAGATTCCTTCCTCCTTAATTTTTTAGAATAATTTCTGCAGTATGGGAATAAAGTTTGAAGGTTTGATAGAATTCTGGTGTGAAGCCATCTGGATCAGGGCTTTTTTTTTTGTTTTTTCAGTTTTTGGCCAGGGCTGGGTTTGAACCCACCACCTCCAGCATATGGGGCTGGCACCCTACTTCTTTGAGCCACAGGTACCGCCCAGGGCATTTTTTTGTTGGGAGATATTTTTATTGTTCTTGAAATTTGTTCAGGAGATCTATTACTTCCTGGCTAAGTCTAGGGAGAGGGTGTGATTCCAAAAATTTTTTTTTCTTTTTTAGAGGCAGAGTCTCACTTTGTCACCCTCAGTAGAGTACCATGGCATCACAGTTCACAGCAGCCTCCAGCTCTTGGTCTTAGGCAATTCTCTTGCTTCAGCCTCCCGAGTAGCTAGGACTACAGGCGCCTGCCACAATACCTGGCTATTTTTTTTTTTGTAGTTTGGCTAGGGCCAGGTTCAAACCGCCACCCTTGGTATATCGGGCCAATGCCCTACCCACTGAGCTACAGGTGCCACCCAGCAATTCCAAATATTGATCCATTTCCTTCACATCGTCAAATTTCTGGGTATAGAGTTTCTTGTAGTATTCAGAGATAATCTCTTGTATCTCTGTGCCATCTGTTGTTATTTCCCTGTTATCATTTCTGATTAAGGTTACTTTTCTATTTCTGGTTTGTCTGGCTAAAGGTTTATCTATTTTTAAGACAGAGCCTCAAGCTGTCACTCTGGGTAGAGTGCCGTGACATCACAACTCACAACAACCTCCACTCCTGGGCTCAGATGATTGTCCTGCCTCTGCCTCCCAAGTAGCTGGGATTACAGGCACCTGCCACAACGCCTGGCTATTTTTTGGTTGCAGCCATCATTTTTGTTTGGCTGGCCCGGGCTGGATTTGAACCTGCCAACTCAGGTGTATGGCTGGTGCCTTAGCCGCTTTGAGCCACAAGCGCCGAGCCATATTTTATTTATTTTTTCTAAAAACCAACTCTTTGTTTCATTAATTTTCTAACTGATTCTTTTATTTTCAATTTTATTAATCTCTGATTTAATTTTGCATATTTTTCTTCAGGGTTTAGGCTTAGATTGTTTTTTTCTTTTTCTTTTCTTTTTGAGACAGAGTCTCATTATATTGCCTTCAGTAGAGTGCTGTGGCATCATAGCTAACAGCAACCTGAAACTCTTGGGCTTAAGTGATTCTCTTGCCTCAGCGTAGGCTTTGATCGTTTTTCTAAATCCATAAGATGGTTTGTGAGTTTGTTGATATGCTCTGTTTTTTTTGATGTAGGCATCTAAAGCGATAAAGTTTTCTCTCAGGACTGCTTTTGCTGTATCCCGCAGGTTTTGGTAGCTTGTGTTTTCATTCTTGTTATACTCAAGGAAATTAATGATTTTTTCTTTTTAATTGAGACAAAGTCTTACTTTTCGCCCTTGGTAGAGGGCTGTGGCGTCATATCTCACAGCAACCTCAAACTCTTGGGCTTAAGTGATTCCCTTGTCTTTGAGTAGCTGGGACTACAGGCACCCACCACAACACCTGGCTATTTTTTTGTTGTTGCAGTTGTCATTGTTGTTTAGCAGGCCCAGGCCGGGTTTGAACCCACCAGCCTTGGTGTATGTGGCTGGCGCCCTACCCACTGAACTACGGGCACTGCCCTAGTCATCTTATTTTGTTAAAGTATTGCTTAGTTTTATATTTTACATCATTGTGGATGCTAGGTTTTGTCCTTTAGTATTTGGGTGCTTTGTTGCTGTCCATTGTGATGGTCAGTGTGTAGAACAGGTCAAAGTATTTCCTGTAGAACAGGTCTTGTTATGGCAAACTTTCTCAGTGTTTGCATATCAGTAAAAGATTTGACTTCAGTTGGTGCCTGTAGGTCAAAGGGGTAGGGTACCGGCCTCATATGCTGGAGGTGGCGGGTTCAAACCCAGCCCTATCCAAAAACTGCAAAGAAGAAACAAAAAAGATTTGATTTCTCCCATCAATTTTAAAGCTTAGCTTAGTAGGATATAGAATTCTGGGCTGGAAATTGTTTTGTTTAAGTAGATTAAAGGTAGATAACCATTGTCTTCTGGCTTGAAAGGTTTCATTTGAGAAGTCGGCAGAAGTGATTTATCCAAGTAGGTCAATTGGCCCTTACTCCTTGAGGCCTGCAGATGTTTTCTTTTGTCTTGACTTTGGACAGGTTCATCACAATGTGTCATGGAGAAGCTTGATTTGAGTTGAGATAACCTAGGGTCCAATATCTCTGAAAGGAATGTGTCAGAATCTTTGGTGGTATTTGGGAAATTTTCATTTGTAATATTCTCCAGTATGGCTTCCATTCCTCTGGGGCATTCTTCTTCCCTTTCTGGGATATCTATAACTTATATGTTTGAATGCTTCATGAAGTCCCATAATTCTGTCAGTGAATGTTCTACTTTCTCTCTTTTTCTCTGACTCTAACTATTTAACTTTAAGCTCTTTAGCTTAAGAGCTTTGTTTGTCCTCTACCTCTTAGATTCTTTTTTCTGCATAGTCTAATCTGTTACTGATACTTTCTACTGCATCTTTAAGTTCCCCAATTGACTGCTTCAACTCCTTTAGTTCTGCTATATCCTTTTTATATTCCTCATTTCGTTCATCTTTTATTTGCATCTCCTTTCTATATTTTGTATATCGTTCATCTCTTTGATTTTGTTTTTTGATTTCCTTTGGTTATTTTCCCCTTTCTCAGCAATTTCCTTCATTGTTTTTATCATCCATATTTTAAATTTCCCTCTGTCATTTCTAACATTTCTTTATAGGTGCCGACCTTTGTAGCAGCTACCCCGTCGTCCCATGGTGGGCATTGCTATGGTCTGGCTTTTCGTGTTGCCAGGATTTTCCTGCTGTGTTTTCCTTATGAATGTTTTCTTTTGTCTGTTTCCTTGCCTAAATTTTCCTTTTACTTCCTCTTGCTCTTTAAGTTACTGTGCCTCTGACCTAAGATGTAGATGTGTCTTTTTGGTACAGGAGGCAGGTATCAGGAAGACCCAGGATTGCTTCTTGAAATGCCTCACCCAGAGTCTAAAAAAAATTAATTTTTTGAGACAATCTCACTTTGTCACCCTCAGTAGAGTACTATGGCATCACAGCTCACAGCAACCTCAAACTCTTGTGCTTAAGTGATTCTCTTGCCTCAGCCTCCCAAGTAGCCGGGACTACAGGTGCCTGCCACAACACTGAGCTATCTGATGAGACCTGGCTCCGACTGGTCTCGAACTCGTGAGCTCAGGCAATCTACCTGCCTTGGCCTCTCAGAGTGCTAGGATTACAGATGTAAGCTCCCCCCCACCCCTTTTTTTGAAACAGTCTCACTCTATTTTCTTAGGCTAGAGTGCATGGCATCAGCTTAGTTCACAGTAACCTCAAACTCCTTGGTTCAAGTGATCCTCCTGCCTCAGCCTCCTGAGTAGCTGAGACTACAGGCAGCTGCCACAGTGCCTGGCTAATTTTTGTATTTTTAGTAGAGATGGAGTCTCACACTTGCTCAAGCTATTCTTGACTTCTCAAGCTCAAGCAGTCCTCCTGCCTTGGCCTCTCAAGAGTGCTGCTAGGATTGGCTCGGCGCCTATGGCTCAAGCGGCTAAGGTACCAGCCACATATACCTAAGGTGGCAAGTTCAAATCCCCAGCCTGGGCCCGCCAAACAACAATGATGGCTGCAACCAAAAAATGGCTGGGCGTTGTGGCAGGTGCCTGTAGCCCCAGCTACTTGGGAGGCTGAGGCAGGAGACTCGCTTGAGCCCAGGAGTTGGAGGTTGCTGTGAGCGGGATGCCATGGCACTCTACCCAGGGGGATAGCTTGAGGCTCTGTCTCAAAAAAAAAAAAAAAGAGTGCTAGGATTACAGGCACTGAGTCACCTTGCCCAGCCAAGAGGTTTATAATAAAATTCTTCTTTTTTCTTTTCTGGAAGATGTCACTTTATTTTTTAAGTTTAATTTAAGATTAATATCAGGGTATATATATTAGGTTACAGTGTTAGCATTTGTTAGGTAAAGTCCCTGTTGTAGTTGTATCTCACTATAATAAAATTCTTAATACAGAATATATGAATTAGGTCCTTTTAGCTAGTTCATAATTGTTTGCATTGCAAAATTTCCATTTACCTGCAACTCTTTCAGGCACATTGACTGAAATGAAATACTCTGTCCTCAGACAATGTTAGTGTTTCAGACAGAAATTATGAAATTCTAGATAGTTTTAAGCACCAAAGCGTCTGGATTTATGTGGTTTTCGAAAACAAAAGGATGTAAGTGCATGAAAAGTTTAAGTGGGTTAAACAAAATGTGTGGTGTTGAGAAGTGGTGGGAATGGATGTTCCAGAGTTACAATCTTTAGCATGGGTTAAGGTAAACCAGATGAACTTGAACCATTTTAATAATTGTGCTTAGGATGGAACTTAATTATAAAGAAAGTTTCTCTTTTCCTATCACCACCTCCCAACTTACTTTTTAGTTTTCTTCTAGCCTTAAGGCCTGGGTATTGGTAGGAACTGGAAATAAGAGTAAACCCATGGTCTGGAAATATTCTGTGTCCACTGCAGGCCACTGGCTTCCTTACGGAGCTCTTCATAGAAATGAAGATGTTTCTCCAATGCAGCTTTTTGCCTAAGGAGACACCCCATCCCCAATTCCAATAATGATTACTTACCCTAGAAATTGTCCTTGTAAGGTAGCGGAAGAACTTTGAATTATCATTAGCTAGACTTGGGGATGTACTCTTGTTCATTAAGTAGCTTTACATATGAGGTTTAGACTATAATGAGCCTCTTATTGGAAAAGTAAAAGGAAAGGCATAATTCTCAGTTCTTAACTCATGTTGCTGGGGACTTCCTTGTTTAAGAGGTGAGGAACCAGGTCTGACAAGTTAGAGTACTGGGCTAATATCACGTAAGTGAAGATGGAATAAAGCCAGTTGGCATCAAGTTCTCCTAACCCTGGGTAGAATAGGGCTTACTTCTGTCAGCTACTTGGACTAGCGTTATAAAATCGTCCCATCTTCCCATCAGATGACTGTCAGTTTTCTTTTCATGGAAAGTTGGAACTACAATAGATAAGTTTTCATTTTAATACTTAGGAACCTAACCCCACTGTTACGATTTCATGAAATTTCCTTAGCTAACAGCTGAGGAAAATCCAAAGGAAGAAAAAGTCAAGGTTAGTAGAACCTGAAAATAGAGTTGTTCTGGCTGCTTTCTCTTTCTGGTCCCCTAAAGAGTATTTATCATCTTAGATTTAGCTTATGGTTACTGAAAGTACATTTCAGGGGGAAATGTTCAAGTGTTTATAGTTAATGTTGGGATCACATGGTTTTTTGGGTTGTGGCTTTTTACCCTTCAATTTTGATGGTTCTAATGAGAATGACTTTTGCTTTCATCTGTCACTAAGGATGTAACAACTATAGGGGACCTAGTTTTAAAAAAAGTCAGTTGAAACCACATACTCAAATTATATCATAAGGAAGATGGTCATTACTATTGTAGGAGAATACGGGGCGGGGGGGAAGCCTAGGTGATTTTGATTCTGTACTATTTCTTCCTCATTAGATTCAATCTTTGCCTGCCCCTAACTTCATTAGGAAGTATTCTTTGCCTTCATTTCAGCCTTGCTGGCTTTTAAAATTTTTGAAACAGGGTGTTGCTCTATTGCCCAGGCTAAAATGCTGTGGCATCATTATAGCTTGCTGCCACACTGCTAGACTCAAGTGATCCTCTCTCCTCAAGCACTGCCAGCTACCTAGGTGTCCACCACTATGCACAGCTAATCTTAAAAACTTTTTGAAGAGAGGGGCCTGTTACCTAGGCCTGTCTTGAATTCCTGGCTTGAATTGATCCTCCTGTTTTAGTTTCTAAAAGTGCTAGGATTATAGGCATGATCCACCATGCCAGGCCCTGCCTCTTTTTTATTCTTTCAACATACCAGTTTCATTTCTTTCTTTGGACTTTCGTATTTATAGTTACTTGCTGGAATATGTTTCTCCCAGATACTTATATGACTAACTCATTTAAGTCTCAGCAAATATGATGCTTCTGAAATTCTCCTATCAGCCTCCTGCAAGCCTATCATATCTTTGGGGTTTTTTTTTTTTTTTTGAGACAGAGTCTCACTTTATCACCTTGGTAGAGTGCCATGTATCATAGCTCACAGCAACCTCAAACTCCTGGGCTAAACAGTCCTCTTGACCCAGCCTCCCAAGTAGCTGGGATTACAGGCACCGGTCACAACACCCAGCTGTTTTTAGAGACAGGGTCTCGCTCTAGCTCAGGCTGGTCTTGAACTCGTGAACTCAGGCAATCCACCAGCCTCGTCCTCCCAGAGTGCTAGTATTACAGGTATGAGCCACCATGCCCAGCCCTCCTATCACATCTTAAAAATTTTTCTGTATAGCATTTATTGCTAGCCTAAAAAAAAAAAAATCTTTATTTTTCATTAGAGTTTTCTCACTCCCACTCCTGGAATGTAAAATGGGAGAAGAGATTTTCTCTCTTTTGCTTACTCTTGAACTCCCAGTATCTTTAGAACAGTATTGTGCACATAATAAGCCTCAATAAATATTAAGGAAAGGAAGTAGGTTTGGAATCTGGGGTCTTAGGTCTGGTCCTAGCATTGCCCTTCCTCATGGTTTTGCCCTAATCGAGTTCCTTTCCCTCTTTGGGACTTGCTTTTCTCATCTGTAAACCAGAGAACTCAAACAGATGATCCCTAAACTCACATCTAGCTCTGGTATAAGTGCTAAAGCCATGAAGGGATCCTGTGACATACGCAACAAAAGCATTTCTTTGTATTTCAGTCTTCCAAATCATGCTTATGGGTGGCGTCTGTGGCTCAAGGAGTGGGGTGCCGGCCCCATCTACTGGAGGTGGTGGGTTCAAACCCAGCCCCGGCCAAAAAAACCCCCTGCAACAACCAAACCATGCTTATGGGGGTACAGGGTATCTCTGATGGTCCAAAGGCAGTGGACAGCTAGTACCAGCACCAGGCAGTCAAACCCTTGTACAGTACCCCTATGCGATTGTTCTGTTGCCCTAAGGTTCGGTACCTGGCTTGTTCCTGAGCTTGTTTCATGGCTTCCTCCTGGGCTACCCTTATAGCTTCCTCCTTTAGCCTCCTTTCCTCTGCCTCCAGCTGAGCCTTCTCTTCTGCTTTCTGTTTCTGCCGCTGGTACTCTAGTCGTTCTTCTTCAGCCATTTCCATCAAACGTTTTTGTTCTTCTGCTAACTGCATTTCTAATTCTTTCTGCCTTTCCTTCTCTGCCTCTGCAACATAGAAAAGAAGTGGGCTCAGCAGGGATTATTACTGAGGGAAAACAGGTTTTTTTTTGTGTGCAGTTTTTGGCCAGGGCTGGGTTTGAACCTGCCACCTCCGGCATATGGGGCCAGCACCCTACTCTTTTGAGCCACAGGTGCCGCCCCAGGGAAACAATTTTCTGATCCAATTATCAAGTCTGATTCCTAGGGACTCTCCATAAGAAATTCTGCAGTTTATCTGCCAATAGACTGTCAGATCCTCTGTGGGGATTACCTTGGGGGTTAATTTACTAATTTGAGTCCTTTAATTAACCACCTACTATGTGCAATGCATTATGCAATTAAAACCTTGGGGAAGAATTTTCCAGAGCCTGGTGTGTATGAAGCTGAGTTTGGGAGAGGCATCAGAACAAGGTGTAGAGAAACTTGGTGCTTACTCAGTTGGACTGGCCAGTCTAGAGAGCCAGTACCAGGAAGTGGCCACAGAGTCACTGCCAAAGTTCCTCCCTCTTCCTCAAAAGTAAGCCTGAATCCAACAATCCCTAATACTGTGTAAATATCCAAAGGACAATAAATCAGCACCCCCGTAGTTATTGCTGCACTCTTCACAATAGCAAGGATGTGAATCAATCATTGTTGATCAGTAGATGAATAGATAATGAAAATGTGGTATGTGTACACAATGAAATATTATATAGCCATAGAAAAGAACAAAATCCTATCTTTCACAGTAATATAAATGAGCCTGGAAGATATTATGTTATGTAAAATAAGCCAGGCATAGAAAGCTAAATAGCACATGTTCTTACTCATGTATGGGAGCTAAAAATGTTGAACTCATGGAAGTAGAGAGATTACTGGAGACTGGGAAGAATAGGAGGGTGGGGGAGATAGGGAAGGGCTGGTTATAAAAATACAGTGAAGATAGGAAGAGTAAGTTCTAGTGCTCTATAATACTATAAAATGACTGATTAGCAATAATTTTCCATTTTCAAATATCTAGAAGAGTGGATTTTGAATGTTCCCAACACCCAAAGAAATGATCAATGTTTGAGGTGAGGAGTGTTAATTAACCTGATTTGATCATTACACTTTGTATATAGGTGTCAAAATATCATAACATACCCTGTAAATGTGGACAATTATGTGTTCATTAAAAAATACTTTTTAGGGGTGGGGTGTGGTAGTCCACACGGGTAATCCTAGCACACTGGGAGGCCAAGGCAGTTGGATTGCTTGATCTCAGGAGTTTGAGACCAGCCTGAGCAAGAAAGAGATCCCATCTATACTAAAAAGAAAAAAAAAAAAAAAGCCTGGTGTGGTGGCAGGCTATTCAGGAGGCTGAGGCAAGAGGAGTGCTAAAGCCCAAGAGTTGGGAGTTGCTGTGAGCTAAATGATGCCATGGCACTCTACCGAGGGTGACAAGTGACATTCTGTCAAAAAAAAAAAAAAACAACTTTAAAAAGTGAGGCTGGAGAGACTACACATCAACACCTGAAAAGTTCTGCTTGAAGCTATCCAGATGTTTGAATCTATTTCTATCTGTTGGGAAGGAAGTGAAGAGTAGGGCTGTGTCTCTGGTTTAGGTAAGTCCTGAGCAATGCTGAAAGCACAGAAGGGTCCTAGTCACACTTCGGGAGAAAAATAGCTTACACTATTAGAGTGCTTTGCATAGTAAGGCCTAGCATAAATAATACTAACAGTAAGATAAAAATATTTCTGCCCCAAAGAGATGGGAGATGCAAAGAGCTCAAGGATTGTGCTTACCAGCCTTCTTAGCTTCTTCTTGTTGCTTCTTTCTCTGTAGTTCTTGCAGTTTCCTCCGAAACGCCTCTTGCTGCCAACGGGCTTTCTCCTGGGCTGCTTGCCGCTGGAGCCGCTGCTTTCTCTCCTCCTCCTCCTGCTGCTGCTGTTCTTCTTCCAGTCTCTGTTTCCTCAAGCTGAGAAAACATAAATTCAGGGAAATGACAGAAAACATTAGGGCATCCTGGTGAGACAAGGCAACAGGCAATGCTTTGGGAGGGGTGGAGGGAGAAGGCTTTGCAGCCCACAGGCAACAGGGAGTGCCCCATTTTGAGGAGACTAGGTTTTTCAAGGGAAACCAGGATTCAAGAGGAGAGGCAAGAGCACAGCTAACCTGCAACTAGAAGCCCAGAAGTTTCAGTACACAGCTCTGTGCTTTGAGGGTGGGGCCTTAAGTTCTTGAGAGTTTCATTTTCAATTCCTATGAAATGGATTTTCAAACTCCTGCCTTATGGGGTTGATTATGAAGATCACATTAGAGGCAAGTCCTGCAAAAAGGCCTCACGTGATGCAGACAAGGCAGGGGCTTTGCGTCTCAAAGCTTTTCTAAGAAGACCCCTTCTATGTTAACTCCCTATCTTGAGTAACATTAATGGTCAAGACACTGTCTCATCTCTAGTCCAGGTTGTTCCTAAGTAACTGAGGACAGAGAAAAATGAGACATGATGTTTTACCTCAGGACGTGAGCTTCAGAACCAAACTTTGCCGCTAGAAGAGGTCACCCCCTGCCTTTTTCTCCTGCTTCCTGACCCCACCATGATCTTTCTGCTTGCCCGACCCACCGGTTCTCCTCTGTGCGTCTCTGTTGCTCCAGCTCCAGCTCCTCCTCCATCTTTTTTGCTCTCTCCAGCTGCTCCTGCTTGAGCCGCCTCTGCTCCTCATGCTCCTTTCTTTTCCTCTCCACTTCCAACTGCCTCATCTTGGCCCTTTCTGCTCGAAGCCTGTCCCGGGAATCTTTCTGCTCCCTCTTAAAGAGGAGGGCCTAAAAAATCAGAGTGTTTTTAGTGTAAGGAGCGGATGGGTCTGTTCAGCACAGTACTATTGGCAGTGAGTTCTTCTCTACCCCAGACAATGTCTCTAATCAGGGATGGAATCATAAAGCCCACTCCATACCCCACCACTGCTACACAGACTCTGATGTCACTTGCTCAGGCTTTGGGATCTGATTGACTTGGATTCAACTCTCTTATTTGCTTTGGGGTTTGGGGATCATGACTTAATTTTCCCAATATTGTCCTACTCATAATGCTGTTACCAGGATCAATTGAAATAATGGAAGTGCCAGCAGAATGCCTGGTATGTGGTAGGGTCTAGAGTTCTCAATGCTAGATGTATTTCAGACTTGCCTAAGGAACTTTCAAAAACTACTTGAGGCCTGGACTCTACTCAGACCAATTAAATGAAAAATCTCTATGTGGGAGTTCTCAGTGGCTTAAAAAAGTTTCTTGGATGGTTATAACATGAAGCCAGGGCTGGGAACCACAGGTCTAGATAGAGGCTATTTTACCAGGGGCAATCTTAGGTATAGATGGCTTAGACTCACATTTAATCTTGTAGAAGGCACCTTTCCAATGGAAGGTTGTTCTTTCAGTTCTCTCTAATGTCTCCTCCTTAGTCTAAAATATGTCCATGAGGGAACTTTAAGAGGCAGCTCTTTTTTTTTTTTTTTTTTTCCATAAAGAGGTAGCTCTTCTGGGGAACTCTGTATATCCAACTCAGAGTCAAACCTCTTTGGATCTTTAGCCTTTGCAGAGGCAGCACAGTACTATGAACTGGCAATAAATCTGAGAAACACTGATGATCTAGCAGGCTCTGAAAAATTCAACCTGCATGTTAAAATTCTCAGCTGTTAAGCAGAGCAGAATTCCATAATCTGCACAGTTGGGGCTGGAGGTGGTGACTGAACTATAAAGGAAAGATCTTCCTGGACTCCCTTCTGGAAGATTATGGGATATAAAATAAATAAACACATAATAATTTAAAATAATGACAAGAGTCCTGAATATGGAGCCAAAGGATTAGAGTTTAAGTCCCAGCTCTACCACTCAGTGGTTGTGCAATTTCTGGCAACTGGCATTTAACTCCTAGCTTCAGTTTCTAGGTCTGTAAAATGGAGCTAATCATACCTGACTTACAAGTGTGGTTGTAGAGGTTAAATAAGATTCAGCAGAGTGTACCATACACATTATGTGAGTTTGAACCATAGTACCATTATGGCTTAGTGTGTGTGCATTTATCGTGTTTAGAGCTACCTTTTTTCTTTTTTGTTTGTACAAGACTTCTAAATATAGTTCAGTAATTTCATCTCAGTGGAAGAAATAGTGATCTATTCTAACAGCAGAAGAAAAATTGGCTGTGTTGGTCTTACTGAGAGATGATGCATCTGTATGGTATTCTTTTTAGTTAATTGTAGGGATTTTCAAGGGTAATTTTCTTTTTTCTTTTTTTTTTTTTTT